AAGGCTCCAGTCATGGCCTGGTTCACTTGGAGATATTGTGTGGTGTATCTGGCACTTGGTCTTTAATATTGGAGCTCATAAAGGAAAAACAACAAAAGTTTGTGTCTCAGCATTCCTTCCACTCTAGATGCACAGGTAGCTATGTTGTGGCCCTGTTTGCTATGTAGCACCAGAGGGCTGAGTGGGATAGCCTCCCAGTGCAGCAGGGCTTTACTCCTAGCTTGTGGCTCAGGAAAAAAAAAAAATGAAAAAGAGTTGTGACCACTGCCATGGTCTAGTGGCAGCTAGTGCTTAAGTATGGTTTGTTCAGATACCTGGGGTATCTAAGGGTTCCAGATGTATGATGGGGCTCTTGGGTGCTCCTGGCTGGAGCCCCAGTCCAGGCTGGAGATTACTGGCCAGCTTGGGGGAATCTGCTTCCCAGTTGGCCAGGTGCCCCCTGGATTGAACTCTTATTTTTCTCTTTTTTATGCCCCCTTTGTGGATCTTGGGCATCCTGGAGAATTTCTGGTGTTGCATAGCTGGTTTGAGTACATGAGTTTTGCTGAGAGCACATTTTGTTGCTTTTTTTAAAGAGTTGCTTTATAGCACAAGGTTGATTCCAGCCTCTCTATTCCACTAAGTTGTGGTGAGAGTCTTCTCATTTTACATTTTTTATTCTTGTACCCTGCAGAACATTTCATGTACATCTAAAAGAATGCATAGTTTGCTCTTATTGGGACAAGTGTTCCACAATGCCACTTAGGTTAAGTCAGTAGAAAAGGTTGTTAACATTTTTTATACCCTTGCTGGTCAGTGCCATCTTTTAAAAACATGAGGTAGTTTACCTCATCCATAGAATCCTCTTATGGCTTTCCACCAATTTTAGAATAACCACATTTCACCCAACTGTCCATCTCTATGCTTTCAACTACCACTCTTCATATTGCTAACAATTAACAGAGTTAACAAGCTAATGCTACTGTTCTTCTTGATAGTAAGATCCATTTTTAAGCTATGCCCAAGAGAGTGCAGTGCTGGGCAGTTAAGTACAAACTGGTGAGTGGGACAGAATAGATTCCAGAAACACATAAACACTTACATATATGGTGACCTTCTGTGTGACAAAAGTTAAAAACTCTGTGACATGCTAAAAAAGATAGGCTTCTCAATAAATATTGCTGGGACAGATGGACAATGATGGGGGAAATGTCTACACTTTGCTTACGTGTCATGCTACTAACAAAAATCAATTCAGTAAGGTTTTAGATTTAAAGGTAGAAGGTGTAAAAGTAGTCTAGAGGAAGAACACCATTGTGACAATGGAACAGGTATAAATAAGTATTACTTAAGCAAAATATGCCAATTACGAGGGAGACTATTGGTAAATTGTACCATGTTGAAATTAAGAGTTCCTTTACATCAAATATATTTCCACAATATTTTCCACAACACAATACATTCCACAAAGAATCTGTACCAGAGTAAATTTATTTTTAAAAGAAGTCCAAGGCAATCTAAATGACAATTAACAATAGGAAGATGAGCAAGAAGCCAAACAGATATTTCATGAGAGGATAATCACAGTTCAGTGAACATGTGAAAAATGCCCAATCTCATAATAGTGAAATGAAAATCAAAGTCACGAGATATCATCATATGCTTTCTAGAATCCAAATGAAAAGACTGATATTACCAAGTGTTCACAAAAGCATGGAGCAACTGGAACTTAGGAAAACTGTTTGGCAGTATCTGTTACAGTAAAGCTGAATATATGTACATATTGTGAACCTAAAATTCCTCTCCTAGGCAGAAATATGTAACTACATATATCAAAATTCATGCAATAGAGTATCTGAAGCAGACTATTAAAAATAGATCACATACTGGAGATGAAGTAAACCAAATGCCATCAGATCAACAGTATGTGCTTTATTCACACAGTAGAATACTGTACAGCCATGAGAACAAAGCATGTATTGGGTTCTCAAAAAGTCAACACATTTGTGCTTAAAAAACAGAAGAAAAACACCATGACTTTTCCAACAATCCAATACATACAATGTAAACAAAAATCTCACAAACATATTGAGTAATGCTGCAGGTTACAGAAGAACACTGCTTGATCCTATTTACATAATGCCCATATCAGACAGAACAAATCCTATGCTTATCTTAGGATAATGGTTGCCTACCCTTAGGGAGGTAGAAACTGGAAAAGTTCATAAGAGGGTTTCCAGGCTGCTGGTAATGTTTTCTATCTGAGTGCTGATTCTATGCACTGTGCCCCAAATTCGGGGGTGAAGGGTACGTAGACTGCTTTATGAATTACACTTCTATAAATAGTTAAAAATAATGAATTCCCTTTGTCATCAACTCAGACCAACAAAATTACTTTTCTCTGGATACTACACACCCATTGTCCACTACACACTTTCACACTTCCACTCAGTTACTGCCTACTCTTCAAAATGGTGAGTGAAACATCATTCATCCCTACTTCCACCTACCCCAAATAGAATAAATGAGATTTAGTACAAGTCTGGTTGCTAAAGGAATTGTACACAAATGTGAAATATAAGTCTGATTTTATTATCCTGTCTGATGGCTATTCACATTTTACCCTCAAGTGAGCTCAAGTGGTTATCTGCTTCCTCTGTTCCAAAGCTTGTTACTCAGGAACATGCCTCTCAAGAAATGTTATCAGTTTTGATCTTAAGCTCGAGCTCCAGAAGTTAACATTTCAAGTTGCAGATAGTCAATGAAGTAGGAGTCCTGTGGGCCACTCAGACAACCCTAGAGGTAGGTAAATTCAATTGGAGGGCCGGCCTAACTTGGGAGAAGGGGAAAGTGTGTTCAGGCCGTGAACCCACCTTTGGTCAAATTTGTATCCTGTCTGTGCTTTGTGTTCGTCACCATTAAAGTAAGGATAATGGTGCTTGCCCTGCACAGTTTTCAAACACACCAAAGTTAACAAGTGAAACACTGAGCAAAGTGGATCAGGATGCAGGAGATTTTAGGGCTGATCCCAAAGTCTCCAAAGCCAAGCTGTGCAAAGCACTCCTGGGCTGTCCCACAGATGGTCAGTAAAGCAGCAGGGACCAGGGACACCCCCACTTCAGGGGTAAAAGGGAGCAGAGGGTAAATCTAGGACGTGAAATGGAGAAGAGCTGGCTGTGCCCCAGCCCAGCAACTGCTAAATAAGTTTATCACTGAATAAATGAGAGGAGCCACCACCTCACTGAATGACTCCAAAGAATCGGGTCTGTTGCTGCCAGAGGATGAGAAAGGAAGACACCTATCAGGTGTATAGTAGATGACGTAACAGCAACTACAGAGGTGGCACCATCACACACACCCACACTTTGTAATTGACCAAATGGCCAGTAAACAACACAAGCATTGGTGGTATAACTCTTACTACAGGGCCCTGGTCTCTACTTTGGAGGCCTTGAGACCTTGGCTGTGACTGGCTCATGACACAAAGTCTGAGACAGATGACAAAAAGTAGTTTTATCAACAAAGAAAATCCAACATTCAATAGCTAGAATATTCACACTGGTGTTTCTCTCTGGAGGTAGACCTACCCAAGGAGTCATCTTCACCAGGATGCCTGAAAACATACTAAAGGACATGAAGTCAACGGGCTAGGACAGAATGGAGGAGGAATACCTAGGAGAGTTCAGTGGGTGGGACTGGAGTCCTGGCCATCTGATAGCTGCCAATGCTGTGCTGCTTTCCCAGCGCTGATCAGCATCACACCCTGCCTCACAACCCAGGTCACTCTGCACACCTCTGCTCCGAGACCCTGTTAGCATCAATGTACAGAACAATCCTATTTCTTCACCTTACAAGTCTGGGGAGGAAACTACACCCACTGTCTACCTTTCAGTCATTAAACAGATTAGTTAACAAAGTCTCCAGTCAATCCCTTTCTCCCCATGTGTGGGGGGGTTAGGCTCCAAGTAGAGGCCAGTGGAAGAGCTGTCACACCCTGGCTGGTCTGCAGGTATAAGGATGAGTTGTGGAAATGGCCAGCTTCTCTCCCTTGAATGCAATGACAGTACGCACCTTTCCTTTGGGCATTAACTGCAGACCCAGAATTTCAACTGGAAAGTCCCAGTTCTGCCACAATTCTGCTCTGTTCCCACATCAATCTCAGGTTATCTTTTCCACAAATGGCTGATTTGATCTTCAGTTCTAATGGACTCACAGGGGACAAACTCAGGAACATGTCTGAGAGTATCGTGCATTGACTGCCAGGATCTGCTTATATCACTCCCCAAGACTGAAAAGCCATGTCTCTCTCTCTTAGCAGCTACCACTGTCTCACTTGGAAAACTTCTCCAATGCTTACAATGCAGTGTGTATTAGGGGGTGGACAGGGGTGGGATGTTGGGGATGTCCCTCCAGTAAGTCCTACCTTGCTGATGGGAAGAAGCAGGAGGAGGCTGCCGTTTCCTATCGGTTTTTCCTGAGTCACTGTCACTACCTGGCCACCAGACTGTCACAGGAGCCAGGAGTCGTCAGGGAGTAGAGGGAAGAGCACCAAAGGCAAGGCCAGAAAAGGTCAAGGGAAAAGGCAACCAGCAGAAAAATATGTCCTGCCACATCCAGTTATGTTCTCCACCCACTCGCCCTCCCCACCACTCCCTCCCACACACAGACAGAAGGTGTATTCCTGCCTACAAACTAAAGCCGTGTGGATGACATCTTTCTTTCCTCTCTGCTTGTTACTACCAGCTCTAACACCATCCTTTGGGGGCATTCTTCCCCTGCCCACTCCCATTATCCAGGAGGTGGAAAGGGCAGAAGGAGGCTAAAAAAATGTTTGACCGCTTGATGAAACAGATTAAGACGCCAACAAATGCAGGAGGTGACAGGAAGTAATAAAGAAGCTTTTCACATTCTACCCTGTGCAGATATATTTGGGTACTTCCCCCAGAAGTGAAATGCATTTGGCTATGTAACATTCCCCAGTACAGCTGCTGACACGTTAGCAAGATAATGGAGCCACCATAGACAGATGTACTACTGTTTATTTCCCCCAAGAGGCTTATGTCAAGCTACCTCTAAGGCAAAAGCATTTAAGTTTTGCAAACTACAAAGTTTGAAAAATAAAAAAAGACAGTTTGGAGATGGAGGCTGTAAAAGAAACACACTAGGTAAATTGAGTTTCCCTGATAAAAGAACTCCAACTCTTAACACTGAACAATCAACATACACAAATGAATTGAGATGACACTTCTTAACAAGCACGATAGGCAAGATTAGAAAGTAATGTCTTTTGAAACCATGCATTAAATCATGAAATGACTTGTACAAAATCATGCAACAATCACTTCTAAGTATTTCATATCTTGTATCAGGGCAGGTGTCATTCCCATTTCCCAGGAGATGCAAAGGAAGGACAAAAGTTCACACGGGGGTCAGTGGTGGAAATGCTGTCCACCAAGAAGTCAGGGCGGAGTACTCTTTTAATAGTTCTGATATGGCAATCAGAAATTCTGAATGGTGATGAGATGCCCACTCCTACTGTGCAAAATAGCACCTTGTGACAGAGGGACGGACGGGTGGGGCTTCTTTCTGGGCCAGAATGGGCAAGGGGTCTAGAAGCACCTACCATCAGGAGCCTGGATCTAACATTGAGGAGAACTACAGAAATTTGGGTCAACAAAGAAAGGTAACTAGTCCTTAACACTTGGAAAAATAAATCATGTGGGGCAGACTCAAGAGAAGCCCCAACAACCCCTGGTACAAAACATTGCCATGCTGTTATCCATAATGTTCTATTTAGCTCCAGAATTGCATCATGCTACCAAATAAGGCTATGGCTATCTATAATGAAGAGAGACAACTGGCTAAAAGGCTATGTAAGTGACTCCTATGACCATCGAAAACTGCTTTAGTAACAACTCAGGAACCTATGTTGAAGACCTACAACACACCCGATCTTGAAAAACACTATGTAACAAAAGTAGAGAAATGGGCATGTCACACCACACCCCCACCCTAACAAGTCAGTTCCCCCATCAACTCCTCCAAGGCAGTAACTTTAATCCCATAAAGACACAGTGAAAAAATGACAGCACCATGGAAAGATGTCAGAGGCTTTTACATATTGTGTTATAATTCTGATGCACTAAGACAGTAACAATAGAGCCGAATGGAATCCTTCAGACATCACATACAAGGAAGACCCGTAAAGGCCCCAACTCATTCTTATACACACACACACAAATGTTCATCGGTCACAGAGAGCAATGGTCAGATTTATACACTGGGGTCTTCTAGGCAGTACTCTGCACATTTAGAAATGAAAAGCAGCAAACAGAGAGTTATCCAGTCTCTCTCAGATGGATCATTCATAACGGCGTAAGATACAACAGCTGTTCTGGTGCCGCAGAACACGTGCTTATTATTGCTGCTTCTCAAATGCAAAAACCACGTAAATACCTAAAAAGAGAATAAATAAAAGTCAGACTTCAGTTCTTCACATCTTCAAGGCGAACAGCACCACCACCTTGGTCCTGGACCCAATGTGGTAAAAAGTCTTAGTGGCTTCTAAAGAGCAACAGTCCCATTATTTCCAAGAGTTCCTCAATTATTCTGAATCACATTCAAGCAGATGTGGGATCAAATGTTTACCACCTACTCCAGTACCCAGTGACAGCACAGCCCTTGAGAAAAAAAAGTTCTACATCTCTAAAACTCTCTGAAACAGTGGAAGGTAAGAACAACTTAAAGTTGTTCTTTCAGGTATAGGAAAGCAAAGAAAATCAAAACTAATAAAGTCTACCGCTAACTTCTTTTTACCAGGTGTAATTAATAACGACAATCCTACAAGTACCAATGGCAGCATTACTCAGTTTTCTCTATGGAACGGAATTAAAAGGAGCATGTGTAACATGCACATCAACATTCACCCACTTATCCAGCTGTAGTGTTGGAGGGCCTGGTAGGGAAAGCACGTCAGCAGGTATGATTTATCTGGCCCCAACAGCGATATGCCTGCATGCAGCCAACCCCAACAGCATGCTCCCTTAAATAAAGCTCCATGCCTTGACTTGGAAGACATCTAAAAGCATCCGTGGCAACGCCACTCTAAATAGTATTCAAGTTCAAACACGCTGTGCCTTCAAACGAGATGCAGAAATATTTCATGGTCAGAAAGCACCTGCATAGACGACAGAGTGTCAAAACATCACACATATGTTAAGGGCGTGCACCAGGGCATTCAACCAGAGCCAGGGTAACAGGCCCTGAGTCTTCATTCCTTGAGTTCACTTTTGAATAAGGCACACAGGCAGCTCAACAACACAGATCACCCAACAGCCTCCCAGTCCTCTAGCTCTCTACTCTCCCAACCCAACCGAAATAGGTGTACAACACCAGTCATTTCAAAGTCTACTTTTCTCATGCTCCTTTCTCTACCAGTTCCCATATTTGAGGAGAAATGAAATGTAGCTGGCACTGCAGTAGGCAGACCAGATGGACAGAAAACAGGCAAGGTGACTGGTCATGATACTGCAATTCTTAATCTCTCCTTATAACAGCTTGCCTTGTAGTGCAATTGTTTGTGAGTTTTCTGCATGACACAGCACAGTTCTGAAAGATAGTATTAGTAACTCGCTGCCCTTTCTGTGCCTCCAACGCCCTTTCGCAGAACGTTACATACAGCAAGGTACAACGTCTATAGAGTGGAATGTCTCTGATCACCACCTGTGCCTCCAACGTAATCAACAGACATTTAAACGAATGGTGGGAACCAATTACCTTCCAAGTCTTTAGAGGAACCACACAAGAGTATTATCATCACCTAATAGGGAGAGTCTGAAGCTGACTTCTATTGAAGAACCACAGGACTTCACAAATCCACCACACTTGAGTTCTCTTCCAGAGACAGGGTCATCATTTAGGGATGTCTCTGCATCACGCCTGCCCCCAGTCCTCTAAAATATCCTGCTCATGGCCTTCCCGGGTGGCGCAGTGAGTTGAAGCACAACACAAACTAAAGTCACTTCAACATGAGTTCGATCTCCCCACTGCAAGTGATCCACATGGCAGCAGACCTCTACTGACCAGCCCACTGGTCCCCGCAGCAGTGTACTTAGTCAGTCGGTCTTTTCTACTTCTCATGCTCTCTGGTAAATCTTCTTACCGGCCCTGCACCACTAGCCTGTACCCCAGTTCTGTATGCACAATAAATCTTTTTTAAAAATCCTGCTCTTGGCCCTCCCTGGTGGCGCAGCAGGTTAAAGCACAGCACTGAGAATAGAAAGCCGCTTCCGCATAAGTTCGATTCCCGCCAGCCCGGGAGGTGACCACATGGCGTGGCAGACATCTCCTGACCTGCCCGCTGCTCACATCAGCAGTGTACTTTGTCGATCTGCCTGTTCTGCTCCCCACTCTGTCTCTGGTGAAACCCCTCGCCGCCCCTGAGCCTCTGGCCTGTACTCCAGTTCTGTACACACAAATTAATAAATCTTGAAAGAAAAAAAAAAATCCTGCTTTCTACGCTTCACTGAAGGACTTTTCATGCCTTCACTGATAACTCCGGGTGGCCAGAATCAAAATACATGGCAGTGTTCTGTAGCTGACATTTCCAATAGAATTCAGAGGTAGTGGGCCCTCCCTGGTGAACCGTGGGTTAAAGCACAACACTAAGAATAGAAAGCCACATACGAATGAGTTCGATCCCTGCCTACCTCGGAGGTGATCCACATGGCGAGGCAGACCTCTCCTGACTCACCCGCTGCACCCCTCAACAGTGCACTTTGTTGATCTGCCTATTCTGCTCCCCAATCTGTCTCTGGTGAATCCTCTCACCGCCCCTATTCCTCAGGCATGTAACCATGTTGTATATGCACAAATAAATAATTAAATCTTTAAAAAAAAAAGAATTCAGAGGTAGAGAAACCCAATACAGATGGTTATGCGATAGCAAGCAAGCAACAAAAGTGTCTGAGTATGCTTGTGGAAGTTTATGTTAAGCAGACCCTGCATATATTTTCTCATGTCCATAAACGACAGTGCAACAATGGGGCAGGTATGTGTGAAAATGAATACACAAAAAGGCACGTGTGAACGCGCTCTCATGCGCACATGCGTGCACACACACAAACACACACACACACCTGTTAGAAAAAAATACCAGTTTCAGATTTTATGGATCACTTTTTGGAAACACTGAACAATCTGCACTGAAGATATACTCACTTGTAGCTTCCCATTCTGATTTACTTAAGGTTCCCTAAAATTAAGAACAAAGAAAGAAAATTTTTAGATTGAACATGCAACTGCGAACATACTTACGTTTCAACAACGGAGTTGCCCGAACAACCCTAACTTTAAGCCAATTGAAAAATACCATGAGCTTCATTCAGATCTGAGTGCATTTAAAAAAAAAAAAAAAAAATCAATGAGCTTGTCATGCCATCTCTCGACCACTTCTGCCAAAACTTTTAGTCCATCGATTGTCAAGCGACAAGTACATATGTGTCAAGTCCTGTGATTCTGTCGTGTGTGTGTGACTGGGAAAAGAATTCATTTTCATTCTTACCTTGGAAAATAAAAATTAAAAGGCCTATCTTGCTTGAAACATCAAACAATACTGCTGAGGAAATACGATTTGTTGTGTTTCACAGAGGAGCCACAAAGTTATAAGTCATACAGGAGAAATAAAATGTATTTGAAAGTTTGTAAACGATCTGAAGACATACTGAAATAGCAGTGTACAGAAATACCCTAACAAGGTCTGGTGGGAGTTCTAGTATTGAGTATACTCTTGAAGAGGCAATGAACGTAAACAACAGTCTACGCTATCCACAGAGATGTGGTAACATCTACTGAGACGATGTCACACTGGTGGGCTGGCATTCAAAGTGAAAGAAACTGAGGGCTTCCACCAAAAAAAGGCTGTGCAAATGAAGACGTACTCTTTCCCCAACCAAGTTTACGAGCCGCTGAATTTTATCAAAGGGACACTGGATGTCAGTAGTGCACAGGTTAAGATACAATGCCATAGCAAGGCAACGCTCAGACCAACCCTATTACTTCTCCCCCATCCTTAACTGCCGCACCCTCAGGTCACATTAAGTGCATTTTCTTCTACAGTCTTGGTTACACAAAGTCCTCCTAACTTAGGGAAAACAGACTAACGTGTATCTGATTTGGAACTAAGTGAACCAATAAACCACTGAAATCATTTCCTACGTTTCCGTACAGCAGGTACGGGAACTTGCCCCCATTTTCAATAAGAGTCTTTTTGACAACGAACACTTACCAGAGGTAACTTTACTTGAGTGTTTTTCATGTACTTAGCCACGTGTTCATAGTCATCCACCTTCTCAGAGGCACGTCTGGAATTCTCGCTTGTAGGATATGGCTAGGGAAGCAAGCAAAATCCCTACCTAAAGATTTGTCATTGAAATTTATAAATAAACAATTTAAACGTACAAAACCACTGAAATACACTAAGGCAAGAATCCCCAACTCTTGCTACGGGACAACAAGGTATGCATACTTCTGAAACAGGAAAAGAAAATGGGTGAAAACAAAGATGCTGTAAGCATCAACGCTGATCATCACAGAATATTTACAGCTGGACACAACTCTATCGTTAATCACCACCCGTTAGCAGCAAACACTCCTATCTTCCTGATGGCCCACCAAGGGAATTCTGTATTACAACACAAAGCCAAAGGAAGGTATTACCAAGAGTTAAATGTTAATTTGAACATGACGGTAATTTAACAGTCATGGAAAATACCAAGAGCAATTTAGAAATAATACAAATGAAACACTCCAGTTAACAAAGAGCCAAACGAGTCGAAGATGATGAGGAAAATAACCTAGGCCATCCCCAGTTTTCCGTAAGAATCTAAAGGAACACGCGTGCACTTTTTTAAGTGTTTGACCAACACTTCTTCAAATGACCTCAAGTACTATTTCTAATCCATTTTAAGTATTATCTGTTATAGTCCAAAGCACAGTGCTCTGGAACACACATGTATCCAGAAACATAATAATATATTACACAAACTATGAAATTTAACTGCCTTCTAGCCTACAAAGATTGAATCAGGGTCTCCCTGCCATCCTTGGGGCACTGCACTTGGCCCCACAAGCGGCTTGTGGGCAGTGCAGGTGGCAGCAGGCGGGGCTCAGGTGGCAGGCAGAGGCTAGCAGTAGTGATGGTGAGTGGTAGTGGCTCTACCCCTGAGCATGCAGTTCCAGGTACCCGGCATCAGGGAGGAGCATGGGGCCCCACGGTCCAACTACGGCACCATGGCTTCCTCCAGGCGCCCATGGTTTTGGTGCCTGGACTGTGGAATGGACCAATCAGGTGTGAGCTAACGAGGGCAATCAGCCCCAGAATTGAAAATGGTCCAATCAGACATGTAGGCAGGGGACCCTGAAAGAGCGCAGGAGCCAGCTTGGGACTCAAGATTCTCACTCTCTCACTCTACCCTTGACAAGGACTCTCGGTTTCTGGCCTCAGGAGAGACACTCAAGACTCTCACAGAACGACTCTGTTCCTGACCTTCCAAAGAAGAAAGCATCCAGCAGCTGGCCTCTGGAGAAAGAAGAGAAGCCAGCGAGCTCTTCAAAGGCCGGGGGGCCACCGCCCTGCCTCTGACATCCCCTGAAAGCAGAATGAAAGGCACCAGGGCCTGTTGTCTCAAAGAGCTATTTGCTGTGGGTGTAGACCCACAACTCACAAAGAGCTGCTGAGACAGTGTTGCTGACATGGCTGCCTCCCGGTGACCAGTGCTGATGGGCATTATTGGCCAGCGCTGTCCAGCACTGTTGACGTGTGAATGACACTCAGTGTGGGGGCACCTCTGAGAGCTGTTAGTTGTCTGGCACTGCCTCCTAGTGCAGTTGGTCTTAAATCACTGACATAACCAAAGGACATCACTGAAAAGAAGTGGTTCTCAACTCGGGGCGACTTGCACCCCAGCCGACATCTAGCAACGTCTCAGACATTTCTGTCTGTCTTAAAGGTGGACGGGGTGCTACTAGCACCTAGGAGATAGAGGACAGGGATGCTGACCAGATCACCTGAAGTGCATACGCTATAGTGCCCCATCCCCACCCCACCCCTGCCATGCCAACAGAGAATTAGCCAGCCCTAAATGCCCAACGGCGCTGAGGAAGAGACATCCTGTTTTAAAGACGGAATGTCTAGGAAACGGAAGCTGATGTCAGCTCTATCCGTCACCCATCCTTCCAATCGTCTATCCTGTATCTATTCAGTACCGGCTAGGGCAAGCATCTCTACCAAG